ACGTAACAGCAGCAACAGTAGCAGCCCATGCAGCTGAAGCGGGAAAGCAATACCCCCCAGGGCAGCAGGAGCAGCAGCAGCAACAGCATCAGAAGCAACAGCAGCAGAAGCAACAGCAGCAGCAGCAACAGCAGCAGCAGCAGCAACAGCAGCAGCAGCAACAGCAGCAACAGCAGCTGCGCCAACAGCAGCAGCGGCAACCGCAGCAGCAGCAACAGCAGCAACAGCAGCAGCAGCAACAGCAGCAGCAGCAACAGCAGCAGCAGCAACAGCAGCACACAAACACACCCTAGACAATTCAGAAAAGCGATCGAGGCGGCCCTCATCGACGACTTGTGCTGCGTCTTGCTGCAGCTGCTGCTGCTGCTGCAGCAGCTGCTCCTTCAGAGACTCTATCATCACCATCCCCTCCGTTGTTGGCTGCTGCAGCAGCTCCTGCAGCAGCTCCACGCTGGAGAGGACCTCTACACAAGCAGCAACACCAGCAGCAAAAGCAACACATGAAGCAGAAGCAGCAGCACATGCAGCAGCAGATGCAGCAGCAGCAACAGCACAGCAGCGGCAGCAGTTATCACTGCGCTGAAGGCACCCACGCTGCGCCCTACCCTAACTGCAGCAGCAGCAGCTGCTGCAGCAGTTGCAGCAGCAGCAGCCGCTGCAACAGTTGCAGCAGCAGCAGTTGCAGCGGCAGCAGTTGCAGAAGCACCAGTTGCAGCTGCAGCTGCTGCAGCACTTAAAAAGCCATGTAAAATGAGAGCCAGCTCAATCCCCTGAGCCGCTGCTACAGCAGTAGCAGCAGCAGCAGCAGCAGCAGCAACCGCAGCGGCAGCTCACCAGCAATATGTATATCCACTGCTGCACTAGAAGCTGACGCGCTGGCCTGTATGGGTCGTCCCTGTTGGTGCTGCTGCTGCGGCTGCAGCTGCTGCTGCTGCACCGGTTGCTGCTGCGGGTGTGGGTTGTTCGATAGCTGCAGTGTATCCTGTTGTATCCGGAGAAGCTGCTGCTGCTGCTGCTGCAGCAGCTGCTGCTGCTGCAGCAGCACCTGCGCCGACGAGCCACAGATTGCTGCAACTTCTGCTTCAGGCAGCGGAGGGGGCCCCTCAATGCCCAGGGCCTGCAGCGCTGCAGCAGCTCGCTTATACTCTTGCTGTATTCCGGGTGTATCTGCTGCTGCTGCTGCTGCTGCTGCNCTGCTGCTGCTGCTGCTGCTGCTGCAGTGTACATACACCGCGCCGCCACAGCGCCGCAGCAACTCATCTCTGTCTCTGTCGTTCCTGCAGGGAAGAGGACCCTCAAACGAGTTTGTGCTGCGAGCGCCTGCTGCTGCTGCTGCTGCTGCTGCTGCCTCCGTCGCGGAGCCGGCCGAGGATACCGCAGCAGCAGCAGCACAGCAAACTGCTGCAGCCACTGGCTCAGCGGCATGGAGGCCGTCAGGGCTGCACCAGTTCCCCTGCTGCTGCGGCTGCTGCTGCTGCTGCTGCCGCTGCGCGGAGACGGCGCTGCAGCAACAGGCAGCAAGGCAGCAACCGTACGGAAGTAATTCGAAGACTCCAGCAGCTGCTGCAGCAGCAGCAGCGCGAGCAACTTGCTGTCTGCTGCTGCTGCAGGCTGCAGCAGCCGTTGCTGCACCAGTGCATGCGCAACAGCACGCGCCTTACCAAGGTCCTCACAAGCAGAAGCAACAGCCCCAGCTGCTGCTGCTGCTGCTGCTGCTGCTGCTACGCGGTCTCGGCCAGAGTTCGAGCCGTAGGGCCTCGGGGTTGTTGCTGCTAGGGCCTGCAGCAGCAACAGCAGCAGAAGCAGCGGAAATGCAGCAGCAGCAGCGGCAGATATGCCCCAGCATCAAAGTATAACGCAGCAGCAAAGCATGCAGCAGCAGTAACAGATGCAGCAGCAGCACCAACAAGTGCAGCAGCAGCGCCGACAGCCATCCAGGGCGCAGCCATCTGCAGCAGCCCCAGGGCCAGCTGCTGCAGCAGGAAGGTGCAGCATCACCATGCACACTACTGCTGTTGCTATGGCTGCTACTGCTGTTGCTGCTGCTGCTGCTGCTGATCCGGGGAGATAGTTGCTTACCTGCTGCGCTGCAGCAGAGGCATCCGGTGTTGCTGCATTTGCTGCTGCAACTTTTTGCTGCAGGACCCGCAGCTCCTTCTGCTGCTGCCTCTGAGTAGACGAACGCCATGTAAAGATTCCCATCTTGCTGCTGCAGCTACTGCTGCTGCTGCTGCTACCGCTGCTGCTACTCCTGTTGCTGCCGAGCAGAGAGCAGCGGACCTTCGCGCTGCTGCTGCTGCTGCTGCTGCNGCTGCTGCTGCTGCTGCTGCTGCCGCTGTTGTTGTTGCTGCAGCTTGAGCTCCTCTAAGGGGTTGGTCCCTAGGGGCCAGTGAAGGCATAAAGACAGCCTCATCTAAATCCCCCATTCACACCTGCTGGGGTGTACCTGCAGGAGCAGCAGCTGCAGCAGCAGCAGCAGCAGCTGCTGCTGCTGCTGCTGCTGAATCAAACCACGAAGACCTCAATAGCTGACGCTTTCCCTCTGGCACAGCTGCAACACAACTGCTGCCGACTTCTCAATTGGCCCGGCGGACCTGCTGCTGCTGCTGCTGCTGCTGCTGCTGACGGGAAAGGCGGCAGCGCCTTCTATAGGGAGCAGCTGTTAAGTTGCTGCTGTAGCTGTCTTAATATAACTCGCAAAATACTCGAAGGGGAACGCGTTGTGTTGGCTGCAGCAGCAGCTGCTGCTGCTGCTGTTGCTGCTGCTGTTGCTGTTGCTGCTGCTGGTGCTGCATGCCCAGAAGGCGATGGTGAGGTGTTGCAGCAGCAGCACCAACGCGTTGTCTGTCTCCAGGCATCAAACAACGATAAACAAAGAGTTTTATTTCGATAGGACAGCAGCAGCAGCAGCAGTAGTAGTAGTAGCGTAGGGGGCCAATCGACGGTCAGCGCTGCCGCTGCTGCTGCTGCTGCTGCTAACAGCAGCAGCAGCAGCAATCGGCAGCAGCAAGGGTAGCTGCTGTGATCGTTGCTGCAGTGTCTATAAGCCAACTACCTCCTTACTCCGACAAACATAATTTATACAGCAAACGATTTTATCTTCCCTTCTAATTCAACACTGCTGCTGCTGCTGCTGCTGCTGCAGGTGGCAGCAGCAGCAGCAGGGCTGCTGCTGCCGGAGCGGCGGCGGCGCAGCCCACAGGGAGTAGCGTCCACTGCAGCAGCAGCAGCAGCAGCTGCTGCTGCTGCTGCTGCAGTATGTGGCTTCATCCATGCGTGTGTGTTGTTGTTGGCTTCTCTTATATCTTTATTAGGGGGCTCAGCAGCAGCAGCAGCAGNCAGCAGCAGCAGCAGCAGAAGCTGCCCGAGCTGACAATGCAAGCGCAGTAAGCAGCAGCAGCAGCAGCAGCAGCAGCTGTTGCTGCTGCTGCTGCTGATGCTGTTGCTGCAGCTTCTCTAGATACTTAGAGAATTGTAATACAGTCAAAATGGGGTGTACAGACACTGCCGAGAGAGACAGCAGAAGCAGAGACAAATAGAACAAACCCAAGACAGAGAGAGAGAGACAGGCAGCAGGAACAGATAAGAAGCAGCAACAGTATATCATAAGTAAAAGCAGCAGCAGCAGCAGCAGCAGCAGCAACGAACCAAAAGCAGCAGCAGCAGAAGATACTGCTCGAGAGAGAAGAGGCGCTGCAGGAGACAGGTGAAAGCAACCAAGCAATGCAGCAACAAAAACAAAAAAATAATAAAAATAAAATAAAACACAGAAAGATAAAACAGCAATAAAAAATAGCAAAAGACAGCGAAGAAAGAACACAAGACAACGCAACTAGGGATAGACAGACGAGAGCATCCAGCAGCAGCTGCGTGATCTTCTGCTGCTGCTGCTNGACAACGCAACTAGGGATAGACAGACGAGAGCATCCAGCAGCAGCTGCGTGATCTTCTGCTGCTGCTGCTGCTGCTGTTTAAGCTTCTCTACTCCAGCAGCAGCAGCACGAGTTACTGCTGCTGCTGCTGCTGCTGCTGCTGCAAGTACTTGTCAACGTGAATGTATGGCGCCTGAGGAGAAGGGCAGAACAAATTGTCTGTGTGTAATAATATAAATAATATTAATATAAATAATACTAATATAAATAATATTAATACAAATAATATTAT